ATTTCCTTGTAAAATTGAAGCATATCTTCTGTTGGTTCATTGTAGAAGTTTACTCCATCCGTCCTAAGTCAATCACTAGTACACACTAGTGCCTCTACCATTTTAGGAGTCAAGGATGCCATAAAAGGGTCCACAACCCTCCTCCCTCGGCTAAATGCATTTTCACTAGCAACGGTAGAAGTAGGGATTGCAAAGATATCATTGGCTATTTGTGAAAGAATTGGGAACTCTTTTGTTTTTTATTTCCACCAATTCAAGAGATCAAAGCCACCAACAACAATGCTAATATAAGGAGCGGCGAAGTACTTATCAACTTCATTGGATATCTCCAAAAGGCCTTGCTCCCTCATTTCTTGTATAAGCTCCTTCATCATTTCAATTTTGTTCTCATCACCCCCACAAGCTTGAATTATGTACTCCTCATTTAGTTCTATAGCTCCCAACGGAACCCCAATGGTAGTAGAAGAACCCCTCTTATACTCATTATACAAATTAAGCAAGCATTTTTTAATCTCCTTAAGCATCCAAGCTATCTTTCTATCATCCCATCCAAGTATTCTGAGGCTAATAGTAAACATTTGAAGTTTATAACAAGGGTCTAGAACTTGGCCAAGAAACATAAGTGGGTTCACATTCTCAAAACTTCCCCAATACTTGTTAAATTTATGCATCATTGTAGTAGCCACCCTTTGCAATGTAGGATTGGTAGGATCTTTCTTTTTTCTTTCTCAATCTCTATTTGTAAAGCAACCACTTGATCCCATAGCAAAGTTGATGTAACATTTTTTGGTGCACTAAGCTTCAAAGTAGAATCATGAAACTTCTTAAGAAAGTGCGTAAAGGCTAGTGATTTCTCCTAATCCTCCTCATCCAGAGGTCTCACTCTCTTTCCCAAATTCTTCTTTGAATCCATCTCCATTTTTCAAAATAATCACGAAATTGCACATTCTCCTCCACCATCCTAAGAAACACCTTCCTAAACTTGTATGTAATGTCAAGCATTTTATATGTTGCATTCCACCTTGTAGACACATCAAAAGGCACATTTGACATCTTGTCCATCTTTAATAAGATAGCAAAATCCCTAAACTTATCCAATCTAACCGGTGAAGAATGAATGTACTTGACACAATTTTGAATCTCCTTAACCGACTTAGCAAGCTCCTTTAACCCAATCTTGACAACTAAATTTAAGATGTGATAAGAACACCTCATATGTATGTACTTCCTACCAACTAAGAGAGAATTCATTTCCCCTAGCCTCTTTTTCATGTAGTCAATCGCAACATCATTGGCGAAAGCATTATTAGTTGTAATGCTAAAGATCTTCTCTATCCCCCATTGGTTCAAACACACCTCTAAAACTTTCCCAATGTCTTCTCCCTTAGGACCAGTGATCATTATGAAGTTTATGATTCGTTTGTGCAACTTCCATTCACTATCCATGAAGTGAGCAGTAACTACCATGTAGTTAATGTTTTGTACCGATGTCCAAGTATCGGTTGTGATACTACCCTTTGATTATGCATTGCTTCAAATAATGTAGACTTCTCCAACACATATAAATCCCACACACCGGTCGCAATTTTCTTCCTATTTGGAATCTTGAACTGAGGTTGAGTCTCTTTCATCATATCAATGTACCCACTAGGTTCATCCACCTTAAATGGTTGTTCATCCTTAATGACAAACATCACAACCTTTAACTCAAGTTTTTTTTTTTTTTTGTTAAAGGTGTGGGGGACCAATCCACCACCCATAGACTTATTTGTTAAGACTGGTTGATTATTATGTGCTTTCATATAAAGAGGTGAGTCTTTACAAGCTTTTCTAAGGTGATGTCCTATGCTTGATGTCCCGCTTGATGTCCCATTTTTCTTAGGATTGGCCGGAACCTCTTTTTTGCATTATGAGAAAATTGCAAGGTGAATGTATTTCCCTTTACTCAAGGTTCTTTTCACTCTCTTAGCATGTAACCAACACTCCGATCACAACCCACTTACATCTTCATATTCATCGGGCATATCTCTCTTACCACTTCCCACACTTTCATCCCTTTCTCCTTGATTTTGTTGTTGAGGTTGTGTTTCAAGTGTTTGGGGTTGAGGTTGGGGTTGGTGTTGGGGTTGAGTGTGGAAGGTGTACTAGTAGTAGAGCCACGCAGAGATTGGCTTGTCCTAGACTTCATCTTGACTTAATACCGAAAACGAAACACAACATTATATCGTATACACATCATATCCAAATATAGTAGAAGCTAATTCGTATACACATCATACCAAAAATAGCACCCATTCCAATTGTATCAATTAAAAAGAAAATAAAAAACAAGTCATGATCAAAGTAATTAATTAAAGTTGTTCGAAGTAAGCAGAATCATGCATCACCTTTAAAAAAGTCATGATCAAAGTAAGCATTTGGATTATGGAAAAAGGAAATTCCCTCTCCCTGTATTTATCTCACTTTTTTACATATGAAATGATAGTAGGCATGCTGCATGCATCCCACATAGCTCCAAATCTCACACCTTTCTATCACACACGGACACACCCAGCTAAAGCTAATCCCTTATCCCTTCACATTTCACACCTAAAACCTCAAAACTAAACCCAAAAAAGCAAATTATACAAACCCAGCAACCCAAAAGCATAAAAGCATAGAAGAAAAAAAGATATGCATCATTGACAGGTGATAACTCGATCAAAAGGTCATACAATTCCTAATCGATTGAGTCTAATTCCATTTAACAAATCAATTACAAATCCCCAATTTATCAATTTAGGGTTTTTAAAATTTTTTTTTATCTAACTTTAGAGAACTAACCTTGATAGACGGAATCGTGAGAGAGACGAAGATAAGATGGATGAGTGTGTTCGACGGGAAGTGTTCAATGGGAGAATTTGAGATGGGTGGGTGAGTTTTTGTCTCCAGCATAGAGAATAGAAGTAGAACGGCTGAAATGAGAGAGTGAGTAGTTTGTGACTCTGTGTTTGTAGGGTTTTATTTTCAAATTATTAGAATATTATAAATATGTGTGTATATAATTATATTATATTATATTTTTGATACGTTACAGTAATACCGTGGTAATGATATCCATTACCAATACCGTACCATAAAATTTCGGTACGGTACAATACCATACCATTACCGATTGGCATAAAAAATTTGGCACAAAATCGGTATGACCAGATTGGCAATTCGGTTGGTACGGCAATTTGGCAAAAAAATCTACCCCTACCCACGACTGCGGGCCCCTGATCTAGAGCAAATACCCCATGGACGCTTATTGGTGGATTTCTCATCAGTAACAGGTTCGGGACGAGATACGTACCCACTTTCGGTAGTCTACAACTAACAATTAAGATCATTTTTTTTAAATTTGTTTTTAATTCATTGTTTGTTTCTCGTTAATGAAAATGTGTAGACCAACTTCAGTTGGAACGAGCGGGACGAAGTATGTGAGGATTACATCAATTGGGCCTGGAACGGACTGTACAAGAAGTGGAAGTACAAGCTCCCCCAGTACTATGACTCCTGTCCGACACCAGAGGTAGCATGGGCGGACCCTCCTAAGGAGTTCCTGGATAGGGTGCACGAGTGGAATTGGGTTTGCACCCACTTTGAGAGTGCCAAGTTCTAGGTGATAATTTTTTTGTATATTATATTAATTTGATTTTTATTGTATTTTTTAATATTTTTTATGTAAGCATTCTTCCATAACTTAGTATTTTATTTTTAAAGGCTTTAATTAAGGTTTAAATTCCAATTGATCTAACTTCGTATTGTTTGTATTCTTTTAGGCTTCAATAGTATAAAAGAAGGACGAGGTCCTCGCCACTCTCCCAGCAGCATCCTAACGTGCCTATGGAGGAGCTGATACCTGACCTAGAGGTGTGGTGCTAATGGACGGGGTTGGACGAACAAAGGGCAAGGAAATCTGCCGCCTTGGAGCAAGTCGAGTTAAATTGGGTCCTGTTCTTCGTGGAGTTCTACTGCAGCAATAGAGACCGACTCTCGACTTCAGCAAGTGGAGGAAAAGCTAGCATGTCAAAGGGGATTAGCCCGCCAGTACTTCATGGTCGTATCCTAGAGCTTATTAGCTTCTGGCATTACGATTCCATCATTGTCGCCCGAGCTTGTGCTGCCATCCTAGGAGCCTCCCCAAAAGCTGTCCCAGTTGCCCCCCCCCCCCCATGCAACCGCCCAATGAGCTGCCCCATCAGTGATCATAACCCCTCCTAGTTTACAGTTCCTTTTTTTTTTGTTTTAGGAACTGCTCTGAGCACTCCAAAAATTTCATTCTACACTCTTCACAAGTATATTTTTCTTTCTAATTGTAGAAAGTTTAGAGTGTAAAATGACATTTTTAAAGTGCCAATAACAATTCTCTTTTTATTTTTTATTTTTTATTTTTTTTATTTTACGTAATATGTTTGAACAAACAAATTTTTTTAGTTGTATATATATTTTTTTTCAATTGAACAATATATTTTTTCTAGGTTGTAATAAAAAAATTTAAACCGACATAACGTTTGTCGGAATATACTGTTATCTTATTTTAATATAAAACGACGATCAGGTGTTGTTCGTCGTTTCAAATTATGTTCGTCGCCTAATATGAATACTACACGATGATGGTTGGGTAAGTTGGAACTTAACCGACAGACATGAAAGTCCATCGAGTAAAATTCTACGCGACGATCGCTACGAAACTTGGCAGACGAAAAGCGTTTTCGTCTCGTAATAATTTTTTCTTTTCTTGTAGTGATAACAAATGCTACAGATTTTGAATCGGTTGGTATTTATTTCTAGTGATAGAGATAACTAATCTTTCTATTATCTAAAGCATTAACACGGTAAATTTATTTCAAGCCTGAGTGATGCAATTAAAATGAAATGATGGAGCTCTACAAGCTCATTAGAGAAATTGTAGGAAGAGCTACCTTTCCTCGTACAAACATCTACTTTCTCCTTCAACTCCATGGCCCTCACACTCATTTCCTTCCCATCGTCATCTGCCATAAGTTTTTTAATAGCTCTTTCTATCTCTCCTTTCTCTAACTTATCCTCCAATTGAAACCCTACTCTCCAAACTTGGTTCACATACCTTGCATGCACCTTTCGATCGCTAAAACAGGGCTGGCATAACATTGGAACCCCTTCCGATAAACTTTCTAGGGTTGAGTTCCAACCACAATGGCTCCAAAACACACCCACCGTGGTATGAACCAAAACTTCCCTTTGCGGTTCCCATTGCACAATGCGACCTCTTGTTGGATGTTGGACTCTAATTCAACGGCTAATAGATCAATATAGTTAATAAGGATTGACATGGAATGTAAGTAGGATTAGGGTTTAGTTATAATCTATAACTTGGATTCCAAGTAAAGTATATATTTCGGTTATATTTGGAGAATAAGGGCTCCTAATACTATCCTATTTGGATTGAGATTTGGTAGATTGTATCCTTATACAATAAGGAATCCTAATGACATTATTATGTGAAGATGCATTAGGGTTATGTTAGTATAAACGAGAAAATATGCCCGCACGTTGCTGCGGGAACCTGTTGTTTCAGATGTAATTGGATGAATAAAACACATTTAAGTTGAATAAATTCAACACAATTATGTAGCTTTAGCAGGGATACATGTAAACAAATTCAAAGGTAAAGACCTGAAATTGAGCTCAAAAACTGGAAATCTCACTTCAATTAAGCAGTTTTTCAGATGTTTACAGCTAAAATAGGCATGATAACAAAAAAGAAGCATCATTTCTTGACCAATCGGACACTAACAGAAAAACCCTAATTCATATTATTCATATTACAAATACACAGGCGACCAAATAGCTAATAAAGTTGGACAATTTGACCCCAATCCAACACAAAAATTGTTGTGGTTATACATGCAATACCCGCCTAAAATATCAACAATTCTAGATTAAAATGGAAAATGAAATGAAGCAACACAGATTGAATACAATTTGGGGAAAATTATCTCACCTAGAGCTCCGAATCTCCAAGAGGTCCTGATCCAAGCAGGCTCTGAATTGGGCTGAAGCCATTAGGTTTGGGGGGAGAGGAACACAGAGCTACTGTGAGAGAGAGAGCATGCGTTGTCCTTTTCTTTTATACAGCCACTGGACCGCAGTTCCTTCACAAAAAATTATATGTATATGTTAGTTTTTCAAGTTCTAGTCTTGCAATCAACTAAAGAACACCATAATCAAAGAGTTTGAAGGGGTTTACCTTTGGATTCTTCCACTTTCAGATGGAGTTGCTTGGTGTATCAAACTTCTAAGCTTCTTCTTCTTCTATAAGACCTTTTGGTCATCTGCCTTCATCATTTCCTCCTCATCGCCTAATTCCTCATCATCTACATGCCAACACTGCCTCTAGAAGAGCCTTACCAACAACCAAGTTAATAAGCATAAGTTCAAACATTAAACGAATATAAAATTATATATGTACAAAAAAAAAACAGTTCCATTTTTACATGAACAACTAAGCAAAAGCATTATTACAACTAAGCATAAATTTTGACGACAAACCTAAACCAGATGCTTTCATCATTAACATAAAATACCATCTATATGAATACTAATTGCACACTCCGTCAAGGTCCTATGGATAACTATGAATGTTTTCAAATTCACCTGCCAATGACAAACACAAAAACAATACAAAAAGTTTAACATGAATCAACATATGTATACAAAATGGTAAGCATATTAATCCATAAGATATTGATGATATTGGCATACAGCCAATAAGAAAAGTATCATATAAGTGTTGCATAAATAAAATGACACAGTAATCCTAAACCCTATGATAAGGAACGTTTAGGATATATATACGAAAAAGAATGGTCTCATGAATCTAACTTCTTTAAATTACATTCTCCTAATTACATATTCCTTGGACTTATCATTTAAGCATATAACATTTATATGAGACGGCTTAAAACAATAATTTTTGCCCTTGATATTAAACTAGATTAGTTTAACATGTGAAATGTTCGTAAAGTATCATCATATGATTGGTTTTAGGGCACATTTCCAACAGAGATGAAGCAATTGTGGTCCCCATCTTCACACAACAAATTGGAATTTGGGATTTTAATAGTAATTAGCAGTCATTCAAAATTTACTAGTCACAATTAGAGCTTAAGTGATACCTTGATTACAGTCATATATACGCATGCTCACATACTAAGACCTAAACCCTAAATCATTCCAATCCTTCTCTTTCTCCTCCTTGGAGATTCTGATTCAAGTAAAATCAAACATTCAAACAACTCATTTCTCACTTGATTGATTGGTACCAAATGAAGGTCAATAATACTTATTTGTAATTTAATTAATAAAAATTGACGCTTGAATCAAAAAGTAAGAAATTAAAAGAGAAATGGAGAAATACCTGGAATGGAATAAGTGAATCGTAGATGAAGGAGTTTATGTTTTTGTTTCTGTTTCAAAACCAGAACCAAACCAATTGGGACAAAAATGAACAATGCTTTCAATTTTTTCCAAGAATTTAACAATTGACCTAAATCAAAATATTAAGAGGCGAAGAGCTTACGTATGTATTAATCAAGAAACAAATAAATTAAATCGGTGGAAGACCCTAATTCACAAAAACAAAGACATAATCCGAGCACCTAACTCAACCATTTATAAACATCCATTACAATTTGAATGAAAGAACAAAATATAAATGAAAATTGTAACAAAGCAAATGGCAATTAGACACTAAACAATGAAAAAAAAGCAGTACATTACCTTTTGAATCAAGGGAGAAAATTGAAATCCCAGACCTTGCCATTCGTCCCTCACCCATCCCCTCCTCACCGACTCCGTGCGTAACCCGTTAACCCTAAAGAATACACACACCCATGCTTTCTGCTCTGTATCTCTCTCTTGGCCCATCTCTCTCTCTAAAATGGGAGAAAATCCCATACATCCTGGCAGAGCACCTACCTAAATCTCTCTCTCACTCAGTCCAACCCGTAGCTCCAATCTATCAGGCCCTGTGTCTCCCTCCTTTGTAGTCGCTCTGTCCCCTCTCTCCGCTCGCCAGAGGCACACCCAGCTGTCTCCGAGTCAAAAATGGGAGCGATTGTCTTCGACAGAGATGCCCCCCTCCCCTCTCTGTTACCGAGTCAAAGGTGAAATGCAACCAACAGCAGAAAATAGGTTTTTAAGCCAGAGTGGCAATTTTGTAAATTAAGTCAAAGTTGGTTAAAAGCATCCTATCCTAGTGGCAAGCTTGTAAATAAAATGAAATGTGGTTCAAAACAGTGTTCATTGGTACAGTGCAATTGAAAAGCCTTTTTTAGACTAAAGTAATACTAAGGCTAAGTCCCTGCACATACCACCAAATCCAACACTCAGAAAACACCCTATAGGTTTGAGTTATACAGTCGTGGTGAGTGTGCATAAGGCCTTGCTTGTGATCATAGGGTGCTTGAGTGTTTGCTGCTGTGTGTGACTTGCTGTGCTTTCGAAGATTTCTTCTCAGCTCACATGAACATATTAAGTCTAACACCTCTTTCTCCTATAGCTTCAGCAAAACCTTGAGGCAATAGGTCAATCCAATCGGAACCACAAATTGAGCCAGATCTAATGACATACAAGAAAGGTTGCTTGCTGTTAGCTAATCTCCAAGCCATTTTTTCCGCTAGTTCTTTCTCACTAGTAGATGCTAGACTCCCTAATCCCTAAGCGTACATAGATAACTGCTGGAAGCTGCAGTTGCAATCTTGCCAAGAGGACCTATTGTGAGATTGGAACTTGACATCGTTGCTGAATCTGTGCTAGTGATGATCGTCCTCCGAGTTTGAATGTCCTTAAACACACAAAAATGAGGTTAAAAACAATCAAACAACTTAAGGTAATGGTTATTTGAACCACCGAAAGAAGATTATAAGCAAGTGACAGAACCATGAGAACAATATCAAGGTTGATATTGTTAGTACGGGATACCGTACCCTCTCCCAGAATAGTGGAGGCACCACCATCAGCCGTGGTAAACATCAGTCTAAGTAGATGTTAGATGTTCTTATGTTTCCAACAAGCTTAGAATCAAATGTCATATGTGCAATAGCACCGGACTCAATTATCCAAATATTATTAACAACAGAATCATAAACTTTAAAAGCCTTACCCTCTTCACCTGTAGAGGTGATCAAGGCCGTGCCTCGCTCAGCCACAAGTTCCTGTTCATCCATCGTCTCAGCAATGGCAGCACGTTGTATGTTACGGACAACCATCGCTTCAGTCTTCTCCCCTTCACCCTTCATAGCATCCTTCCTGTCTGACTCGCAGCGTACGTAGACATAGGATGCTTGGAGGCTCAAGGTATGTTGGACCAACTCATCGAGGCCTCCCAGGAAAACACACGTTTTCCATCACTTTTGAGTACATTCCCGTGTCGTGTAGCTCCGAACTTTTATTAATTATCACATTATATCAAACCCTAACCATATAGGTTTTCTTAGTCATGAGTGTAACATGTGCGCAAAAATAGATCGGACCATTTGATATCACAACTGATCGGAGCATATTTATGCGACTTAGTTAGCTTATTTTCTTGCACTTTTATAGTTAGTTTGTGGTTATTATAGTGTTTTAAGCTATTTTCGTGTGTTTGTAGGTCCAAATGACAAAGTATGCAAAAAGGTGCAATTTGGAGCCTTTTGAAGCAGTTTTGAGCATAAAATGGATATCACATGCTTGGAGTCAAATGGATGGACGAAATTGAAGATCAAAGGAGGCAAGAAATGAAGAAATGAACATGAAGAACAAAGAGTTCAGAATTGGAAACCAAAGTTTCTAAAGTTGGAAGTTGCTATTCTTGGAGGTTTCCATTCTTGAAAGCTTCTACTCTTGAATTGGAAGTTTCCTAATCCTTTTTCAGCTTTGTTCTAAGCCCATGCCGCACCCTAGGGCCCTAATCCTTTATTTTTTGCTAAGTTTAAACCCTAATCCATCTACCCTAGGGTTGTGCCGCACCTAGTGTTCTAGAAGCCTAAAAATCTGCATTAAACCCTAATTCTTTTCTCCCTTGGATGGGCCAAGCCTTTTATCTCCAAAACCCTAACCTTTTCCCATCAGATTTTGTGAAAACCCTAGCTTTGCCATGCCTATAAATAGATGTTTTAAAGCCTAAATTCGTCACCACCCTTCACACCATTCAGAAACACCTTGCTGCAACCCTAATCACCATTCTACATCAAGAAACACCATCCTCCATCCATATACATCTCTGCCGCACCTTTCGGAGAAGAAGGAGAGCCTTGTCGTGCATTCCATTGATGAATGAGGGCCTTGTGCGCAAGCCATCTGCATCCTTGGGAGTTTTAAGAGTTCTTTCTTCCCTCGTTTCAGTTTCGATGTTTATTTGAATTTGCTTTTCAATTGCTATGAACATGTGGAACTAAACTCTTATTAGTTAGTGGTGAATTTGAAGCCATGGACATATGTTAATATGAATTGATTCCTTTCAGTTATTGTTTCGTAAAGCATGAATGCGGTTTACTTATCTATTTGATTGATAACTTATTCTTGTGTGTTAATTAAGGAGGCCTACTTAGTTTGCATGCTTGAATCTGATGCTAAATTATAAGGGACTTTCACCTAATCGTTAGAAACTTATAATTACAAGTAGTGGAGATTGTTAGTCACAATCGTGTTAAGTAGATTCTTGGCAAGAGTATCATGCAGTTCATAGTTATAATTGCCTTGTCAATGCTTATGATTTCCATGGAATTTAATGATCTTTGAATGTATCTCTATCATGCTGTTTATATAGGGAACTTGAGAAGAATAATTTGGGTTGTTGCATGCATTCATCCAATTCAATGAATTTAGGGAAATCTGAGAGTTAATTTATGCATTCACGATTAATTTGGGGCATTGTCGTTCATGGTTTAAAGAAACAATACTGGAAATCGATTTATGTTGCATATGTTCATGTGTGGAGAAGGATCCTCTAACTAGCTTTTCACCCTTGAATTCATCTTAATTTCGTTTTAGTTTAACTTGATTTGCAATTTGTTTAGTTTTAATTCAATTTCGTCAGAAATCAAACCCCCTTTTTCTGTTTTATGTTTTTAGGTCAGAATCTGTCCTAATTAGGTTCTTTAGAGTGTTTTGAGTCAATATAGGTTAGAATCTGTCCATAAACATTGTTTGGGTCTTAGTTTAGTCTTAAATTCGTCCAATTTCATCTCTAGAATCTGTTTTGAGTCTAATTGTTAGTATTGTGCTGTTTTGAGTCTTTTAAGTGTTTTATGAGTTAGTTAAGTTACAATCTGTTTTCTTTTAATCTTTTGAGTCAAAGTAAGTTTTAATTTCGTCCAAATCACTTGTTAGGTTTAGAATTGAGTCAATTTCACTTAGTTTTGCAGATTTGAGTGACTTAGGTCAGTTTAGACTCTATAGAGTCTATTCTTGTGTTTTTAAGTCTAGTTTAGTGTTTTAGAGTTTTATTTTAGTAGATTAGCAACCCTAGTTAATCCCCGGTTTAGAACGATCCCTACTTACATCTTTGCTACAATTGTCATCAATAGGGTTTAATTTGTGTGTCAAGTAATTTTCACATCAACAACAGCTCGAGTTGTCTATGTTTGTTGGTCAGAATAAGCGGTTTGGACTAGTACATTAACATACAAACGTTTATTGCATCCAATGTAGTAAACTTGGCATTCGTGTTCGTGTCTCATTCTCTCCTCTCTCTATCTCATTCTACAATTGTAAGCCGATTTTCCAAACTTGGCTGAGATACCTTGCATGTACCTTCTAATCGATAGAAAACGGCTTGCCCAGAAAGATCTAGTAAACTGCAACATTGAACCGACATTGAAAATCTTGCAAACCAAGCATATGAGTTCAGAAGTCAGTTTGTAAAGCCCAAGGACTTATATGTTACAGTTTGCATAGAGCATATATAATATACAGCATTCCATTGTATGCTCACTGTGATGTCCTACAAATCTTTGAGGTTGTATCCAAACATATTTCAAAATTAGAAGATAGGATATACGGAGATAAAATCCATAAGTAGGCATCCTAAAGAATCATATACCTTCTTATCTCTGTTTAGTAAAATCTTAGATAAATAGAACACACCTCAAACTGCATTAAGCATTAGAAAAGCATAAAACCTGTAACTAAAGACGTTTCGATATTTCTATCTTGATTTAAGGCCATTTGCTATGGTAGCCTCACGTTCCTGACGACGCCGTTCTCTCTGCAAAGAAGAAAGAGGATACGAGATGAGTGCAACCAACTCACTGACTCAATCCATTCCAATCCAATCCAATCAAAGCGGTTTAAACTGCAATATTTAATCAAATGGTAGATGACAGAAAATATATTTAAAAGTGAAAAACTAAGAACATAACACCTTGCAATTAGATTTCAAAATTAAAAGCGACAGAAGGTTTGATTGGTTATTGACAGAACACCTTGCAATTAAAAGTGACAGAAGGTTTGATTGGTTATTGAAGATTTCAAAATTGACATGCACAACCTTCACCAATATCGACCAGTTCAAACCGTGCACACAAAAAGCTTCCCCTTCAATATTATACAACCCCATAAAATATGCATGTAATCAAGTTTTCACACAGCCACAAGTACTGTGGTTGGCATGCATTTTGTAGAACAGTCTGGCTAGTGCAAACGAGACAAAGTACAACAGGCATGGGAGCAAAATGCAGAAAGCAAATTGACCATTTGCATAGCATATCATGAACAGGAGATATGGTTTTCAGATTTTAGAAAAGTGTGGTTTAGATTGAGTATGCATCACATAGACTGGTTTATAGACATCATCCCAATACATCAAGAAAGGCCATAAAATCTGTGCTGCAGTTAGCTGATACACATTCTAAATATATAATAAATAAAATTCTTGTATTCCTTTTTTGCGGCCTGAAATTTTCCTCATATTAGTACTTGGTACCTACAACATAATACAAAAATTCCTAGGTCCCTTAGGTTTTCCTCCCAGCAGAAATCAAAGAGAACTTATCTCTGTTATGCAGATATTAAATAGTCATTTCTTTTATCAATTACACAGGGGGACAATAGTACCACATGACTCGTATCTTTGAATTTATAACCAAGAAGTGTAGTTCTTAGTATGGCTCACCACAAGTCTACAAGTTAAAAAGGCTGGAGAAATCTAGTGAATTCGTAGCATTCTTTCTAGGCTCAAACTGCATCTTTTAGTTTTATACACTTGGGGAAAACAATAATAAAGATCCTTCACCAATTATGGGGCTTTTTGTTAACTATTTCGTTTTAGTTTTTTCTTCTCGATTAGTAATAACGAGGAAATACAGGAGAGAAGAGATGGCAAGAACAAGATAGAAGAAGGGTGATGGGAATGATGTGGAAGAAAGAATAGAATGTTACAGAACATGAAAACCAAAAAACAAAAACAATTAAGTAGGTATAGTTTCTAGTCTTTAGTTTTCATTTTTTATGCCATTCCATGTGCATTTCTCCTTCCTCCTTCCTACCACTCCCTCTACAATATTCATCCATCCTTCCATGTACTCTCTCTTTCTCTCTTAAAAAAATGAAAACTAAAAACAAAATGGTCATAAAACAGGCATTTATAAAGGTTTAAGCCTAATGGAAAAAGGACACTAGACCTAATCCAAGAAAGAAATTCTAATAGAAAGTTTAAAACAGAAATAGAAAAGCACAATCTAATCCTAATCCTTATAAAAGTAAGGAACTAAGAAACAATTGATCTTGTCGGAATACAGTTGTTTATTCCCAAGTCCATTCTCACAATGGGGAGCCTATTAATAATTTTGTGCCTAGTCAAGGCTTAAAGAATATGTTTAATGTTGGAATAAATCATATTTTGGTCAAGTTTTCTGCCACTTTTTCTCAAAAAAGATTGTTTGATGGGACTCGTATGCTTTACAAGTCTTAGTTGGGTCAAGAACTTAAGATTTCCAAAAGTATTTCCTTTTCTCATTTTTAGAACACACCAGCTACTAAAATTTTATTTCTCATTCTAGAAGTTTGCTTCCCACCCACAGGAGAACACCGTTGAAATTAATAGCTTGCATATCCCAAACTTAAGTTGGTCAAGCAAGTACTTGCGGACAAGCCTTCCTCTGGGTATGAGGAAAAGAACAGAAAAACTTTGAATAATCATCCAACTATAATAAGTGAGCATTTTCTAATTTCCCAAATTCATTCCACTAATGCCACCATATGTTTTTAGAGATACTGTCATGATGACACCAGAAAGCTTCAATCAACAAAACTATCCCTATGCTGAACACACACTAAAACCAAAAATGATACTTAGGTTTGACAACTTTCACCTCACTGGTACAAATCCATTAAGATGAAGATATTATTAATGCTGTAAATGAATATAATAACATCATGTACAACAGTACAAGCAAACATAGTCATACAATATCAAGTAAGCCATCGACTATACTTTATTTTAAGTTGCATGCTGCATGTGTATGCCGAACATTGTTGATGATGTTGGGAAGATCCAGTGATCACCTAACCTAAAGAAAGTTCAATGCCAATTTCTTTTTCCTCTGGAAGATGGTTTGCTTGACAAGCAACAAATGAAAACTTACCCGTCTTTCCCAATAGGGAAGGAAGC